TTGGGAAAGTTGGTTTAAAGTGTCATTACCCATACAAATGTGTTATTAATTAGAGTTTAAAGGCGTCATTAAACCCAAATGGATGTTTGTGCATCTGACCATTAGGCTCTAACTGTGGGTATTACTAAAATAGGAGAATTGTAAAAGATCGTAAATAAAATATACAATAAATCCAAAAGCCGCCGTATTATTGAGTAATTCAGTAAGAGAACAAAAGTAAATAAAAAACAATACATTTAAATAGAATAGAAACAGTATACGTACCAAAACTGAAATCACATTTTAATTCTCTATTACAATATATAAAACTAACAATGGTTAAAGTAAATAATAAAACAAGTTTCATGATTATAAATTGAGGATTTCGAGAATGAAATAATAGTGACATGGATTTCTATTTAGTTCTTAATTATATGTAACTATTAGTGAAGCATAGCAAACAAATGAATGATATTATGCAAATTCTTATAATTAACAGTGGCACGCCCTGTCTGCTCCTCAGAGCTGATACTGGGCGTGACGAGGCTGGTCTTCTGTGACGCATCGATCTTCGGGGGATTCAGGGATCCACGATAAGGGCTATACCTGGGTAGATCCTCCCAACATGACGGGTAGGGGACTAGAGATTGCGCAGTCGAGCATCTGCAGTTTCTAGTCGGGGGCAGCCTGACCGGTTTGCGCATTGGTTGGGCATTGGACACTTTCGCCTCGTTTGGGGGGTGCGTTTCGAGTTTCTCTGAGACGTAACTTTAACCCACAGCGGGACCTGTCCTTTTCAGGGCGGGCCGAAATGGGGGCGATATATAATGGGCGTGTATGGCCTTCGGGTTGATCCCGTGCATCGCCTTCCATGCGAGGGACATCGCTGAGTTTTAGTGGGTAAACTTCTGCTTCTTATCTTGCCCCATTAGCGGGTTCCCACTGGAGTAGTCCTACATAACCCGCCGAACCTGCGCTAGGGAGAGCGGGCATGCGTAACACATTTCTCAGCGTCAAAAAAGGCATGCTTCATTCGTTCGGACTACAAACAAGAGTAGCTCGGTGGAGTAGCGTATAAGCGCAGTGGGAATGTCACGGAGCTGATGATTTCTACACTATACGACGTCAATTCGGACACGTGAAGATTCTGATTCGGATTTTAACAGAATTACTCTGCTGATGGCAATATTTCATGGACATGTCTTTTGGTATATAAATCTAAATATATACATATAACTCAAAGGTGACTGACTGACATAGTGATATATCAACGCACAGCCCAAACCACTGGACGGATCGAGCTGAAATTTGGCATGCAGGTAGATATTATGACGTAGGCATCCGCTAAGAAAGGATTTTGATCAATTCTACCCCCAAGGGGAAAAAATAGGGGATGAAAGTTTGTATGAAACTAAGTGAATTTTAAGCCGATCGAGCTGAGACTTTGCTTGCATAAAGCTACTATAACGTAGGCATTCTCTAAGAAAGGATTTTGATAAATTTTACCCCTAAGGGGATAAAATTTGTATAAATCTTCTTAGATTTTCGACTGATTGAACTGAAATTAAAGATTGGAGCTACTATGATAAAGACTTCTGCTTAAATAAGGTTTTGATAAATTCAACCCCCGTGGGGATAAAATAAGGGATGATGGAGGATGTAAATGTATTAGTTTGAACCTATCAGTACTTAATGGAACGAACAAATAAATATTCGTTAGAAATGCTGCTCAAAGTAACTTTACCACGCGGACGGAGTCGCGGGCAAAAGCTTTGTGGCGACTGATACATAGCGACATCTAATTCATCGCAGTAACATCGCCACAACAATCGATAGCGAGAAGACAAGCATCGTCACAGCTATCGATAGCAAGACGAACTGCAATAAGTTTCAACAGCAAGTAACGAGATGGCGTTGTGCCAATACAAGCAGCATACATTATTAACTACAAGACATTTAGAACAAAGAAACCTACATCGCACAGAATAAGTTTCATTACTAATTAGCATAAATAGAACGTCCAACCTACATCGGTTGGACCGCGGTCCCCGGGCTAACAACACCTAGCTCGCAGGGAGACAATTATCCTTTAGTTTCCCTGGCCAGTTGTCTCCATCATCAAGTAGGAACCAACACCTTCAACCTTACGGTTCCTAAAGCTTGTTTGGGATAAACAACTAAGTTGGTGACACTGTTATCAAATCCCATAATCACCATTATTTATCGTTTGTTTGTGGTTACTATAAAGTACATGACAAAGTAGTAAAATGAATCTAAATATCGGTATAACATCGATAAGATATTGTTTAGTATGTCTAGAGAATTAGGCGCTCTAGACCTCTTTAGAATAGGCTAGTTGACAACTTTTTTATTATATCATACATAAATAGTCCATTAACATCTGAGAAATAATGTCAAAGTAACAGCATGTCTGCGATTAATAGTTTCGGAGATACGGTGCTGTGTTTGTAGAACTGCTGCTAGTTGGCCGAAAACGCTACCTACAAATTCAAGGCACTCAGTGACGTCACATGGTGCTACAGTAGCGAAAAATGTATGGGCGTCTGGACATTTTTTGTAATATCTTTGTTATTTGTGCGTTTATGTTTATAGCTGTTATAATGAAAGTTGTGACATTTTTTATATCTAATTTAAAGCCTTATGTATTTTAGCAGATTTTTGTAGTAGATTTTCTGTACTTTTTCAAGTTTCCAAAGCGTAATATTTTCCAAATCATTGACTTAAAATTTGTTTTGTTAAACATTTATAAGTTGAAATGGTTCATATTTTTCGAAGATATAACAAAAACCTGTATTTTCACTTGTTGGACACAAGCCTATTATTTACTTCAAATAATTTAAATATTACACTAAATATATGACTTATATGTAATTAGAGTATTGTGCATAACCGCATCCAAATAATTAGAAATAGTTTTATTGTTTAAAATCACAATGCGAAAATCGAAATGCTTAGAATCATAATTAAGTTATTTGTTCCTTTATATTTAGCATAAAATTGATTAACATTGATAAATGTTTTAGAATAGCGCTGAATAAAAAATAGTAGGTCATTCTTCTTGATAACAATATTATAGCTCAAAGATTTCAAAATCGGGCGGGACTAAAGTTTTATTATTTCCCAATGGCTATGAATTATCAAGTCAAATAGGGAGAATGAGCCATGATTTACGAGAGCAACGGCTTAATATGCCTTCCGAAGCAAGGAAGAGTGAGAAATAATAAACTTAGTAATGTTGAATAATTCCAATGTGATTTTGACACTTTGGAATTATTCACTTATTCGGCTTTAAGCTGTCAGTTGTGTTAGTGAATAAGCTTGCAGGTCACCTATCCTATGGCCGGATTACTACTTCTTGCGACCAGTGCATAAACTTGATTTCTTACACACTCTCTCACCCCCAGCGCACATATCTTGTACGTGTCAATTTAATTTGGGAACTTGAAAAAATGTAGCGTAAGTCTATGAATTGATTTTTTCAACTGTCCTATATAGTCATGATTTTGGCACACCCCTGACACTGGAGTCTTGGTAATTTACCCCCTAAGTTCAGTGATTAAAAATAATAAAGTTATTTGTTAATAATAAAGTTTTTTTGCATTAAATCAATACAATTGAAATGCATTAGACTACAACATAAAAAGTAAAGAAACCAAACCAATTACACAAAAGGAAAAGAAATGGAGAATAAAAAATGAACAGCTTCCAAGAATCTTCGGGCTACGGATCGCTTCCTAATTTTGTTACCTTTGATGGGGCCGAAACGTGGAACATGACAGTGAAGTTGGCCCACCGACTGCATGTCGCTCAGCGAGCTTTGGAAAGGTCTATGCTCGGAGTCTCTCTGAGGGATAAAATCCGGAATGAGGTCATTCGGCAGAGGACTAAAGTGATGGATGTGATCCAAAAATGTAGCAAGCTGAAGTGGCAGTGGGCTGGCCACATCTGTCGCAGAACCTACAAAAGCTGGAGCAGACGAGTTCTTGAATGGAGTCGAACGCCCCCCGGCAAGATGGACTGACGACCTCAGAAAGGTAGCCGGCAGTGGTTGGATGAAGATAGCGGGAAATCGTGTTTTGTGGCGTACTCTGGGGGAGGCCTACGTCCAGCAGCGGACTGCAACTGGCTGATATGATGATGATGACATGTAATACATCGCACTAACAATCGATAGCAAGACGAACTGCAAGGACTTTCAACACACAGTAACGAGATGGCGCTGTACACCATAAATTAAGATACTACAAGGCATTTAGAACAAAGAAACCTACATCGCCCACAATAAGTTTCATTAGCAATTAGCATAAATAGAACGTACAACCTTCATCGGTTGGACCGCAATCCCCGGGCTAACAACACCTAGCTCGGAGGAAGACAATTACCATTTAGTCTCCCTTGCCAGTTGTCTTCATTATCCAGTAGGACCAACATTTAACCTAACGGTTCCTACAGATTCAATCCACAAGATTTTCGCATCGGATAGTGCCAGTTCGTATGACTGGTAAACTAATGAGGTGCCACTGAACTTGTTGCTTCAAATACTAACGGACTGTGGAAGCATCTCAAAAAATGTGTAGCCGTCATTTGTCATAGGTAGTGACAACTTGAGGGTCGTCGTCTCGAGTAATATTTGGTCGAAGGTCTGTAGTCTCCAGGTATTAAGGAGAGGGTGGTATGGTATCAAGTAACTCAAATAGAAATAATCGACTTTTCGGCTCCAATAGTGACATTTAGTAATTCTGATGACTTGAATAGTCATTTTAAAGAGTTTGTTATACCTCAATTAGTGATGTTTTTGCTTTCTCAAACATTTAACTATAGATGTTGTATATGGGTAGGTTGAAGAGCTGTCACTCCTGTCACAGTTTGCCGTAAATAGCCGCCTACGAGTAACTAAAATCGTGTAAACCAGCCTTTATTCTTTTAAGAACTTTTCAATTTTATATGCCAATAAACACTATCGAGGCAATAAAAAAATAATTTCCTATTTAAGATTGTAGATGTTTAAAGTGCCATGGCTAGGTGAATAACCAGCTTACAAATAATGTGGATCCATATAATTTGCATAAGTAAGTCTATACTAATATTATAAACAGGAAAGAACGAAAACCAAGTCAGAAAGAAAGATTTAAGCGTTTGTTTATGTACGTCGTACAGAATCCGAAACCATTAAACCGATTTTTAAAATTCTTTCACTTACGAGAAGCTACAATATATAATTGCAAGAAAGACAGATAGTATCTTATATTATTCTTTACGGGTTAGGCAGAGAGGAGCGAATGCTACAAGGCACGGCAAATGCCGTTCATTACTTAGTGCCTTCATAAATGCTCGGGTTGTATGACTTCTGATAGCACCTTCTAATAGCACGCGAGAACGCCTGAGCCCAAGCAGTGGGGACATCAATAGGCTGGTGATGGAATAATGAACTTTGTAACATTTATAATTAATGCGATAGGGAAGTTGATGTCTGTACAAATTGAGGACAAGTAGTTAAGTATATCTAAAGGTACAAACATAAATGCTGATTAGTGGCAGATAGTATACTACTAATGCGCATTTGCTCATGATCAAGGTAAATGTGTCTTAACGGTGCTAGTAATGAGCATGCTTAATTCGGGCATGCTTAATAATTTTGCCGTGATTTTTGAGCATGCTTCTTGAGGCGCAGGTGGAAGGGGTTAGTTTTGAGCACGCCTGAACAGATTTGTATATGAGCATGCTTATTGTCACTTCAATCTTGGCTCGGGTGCGCATCACAATATAAATACAAATACTATAGATTAATTTATTATAATATGGCGTGTTGGGGATGAACAAAAATTGATTTTTGTAACTATTTGTATGAGCGTTTATAACATAAATACGTGAGCATGGGCAATATAAGCATTTATATACAATGAAAGAGCATGCTTTTTAGCGATTTATTAGCATATTAATAAGAACGTAGGTCAGTGCCTTACAGCGATTTTTATTACCAGGTCTCTTTTCAAGCCAGGCATATTGTTATGTACTGCTTCAAGTAAGCAAAGATGAACAGAACCGTTCTAATGTAGACGCACTGATCCACAAAGTAGTCCCGTCAGAGCAATACGACAAATTGGCGGCGAAAATAACTAGGAAACAATTCCCCACGTTGCAAGAACAGGAGAAATTGGAACAAAACCCGGAGCCGATATTCAAATCGCATAATGTCAAAGGGGAAAAAAAAGATGAGCACAGTGACATTATCCAAACTATTAAAGACATATTTTCTGACAAGCCTGCGTTGAGGACCGGATCTTTACAAATAGGTAAGGTTTTTAACATACTATTGATTGCAAATCTTATGATGGATGAGACAAGAGGCAACCCTAATATAATAGTGGAGCTGGTGAAGCTATTTAGGCCCAGATCGACAAGTCCCCAAGTTATTTGTCTACGGAGCCTCCATACCCCTATTTACGATTTCGACAAAGGAATTTGGAGCTATTCGAAGGCCCTTCAGGTCCAGAGGCCCTCTCCCTCTCAACTTTGTCTTCAACTATTGACGAAATTCTGTAGTCTTAAGTTTACTCAGTATATTCCAAATATATATCACTACATTCAACTATAAAATACATCACTACATAGTATAAAACAAAGTCGCTTTCTCTGTCCTTGTATACCTATGTAGCTTTAAAACTACGCAACGGATTTGATGCGGTTTTTTTTCATAGATAGGGTGATTCAAAAGGAAGTTTTTTTTATGTGTAATACAAGACTACGCGGGCAAAGCCGCTGGCGGATAGCTAGTGTTTATTAAATGCTTTCTGTATTTTTTTTCCGGAACATCACTTCCAATATTGATAATACATACATCCATCTATTTTGTTAATCTGTTTGTTCCTTTGTGCAGGAATATTAACATATTTTCTTGTTTTCAAAAGAAATTTACAGATAGATTAAATAGACATTTTCTTGTAATGTTTTCTAGCTCCAGAAGTCATCAATTTCAGAAGCAACAAGCCTACATTATTATACGAGGTGTCTTCGGACTTGTTGGTCCAAATCATCAAAGAAATTCTATCATCAAAGAAGCTAGCACAATACACAGACGAAATAGTAAGACGAGCCGCTGTTGTCTACAAAACTATTAAAGATAAATAAATTGGCACATTGAATTTACTCACCACCCTTATCTATAGTCGAGAGGAGTAATTACTTGAGAGAATGGCGTAACTTGAGCACATATTTTATATTAGACGGGCATTGGCGTAGCTACGGAATTTCCCTAGGTAGTTGGCCATGGCCTCAGGCATGAATCTTGTTAATTAAATCAAAATTTAAAATGTTTGTTCATTATAATTTAAAAGGGAACAAGTAGTAGTTTGTAGTAGTTTGTCTGAAATGAAATGAAATGAAAATATCTTTATTCAAGTAAGCTTGTTACAAGCACTTTTGAATCGTCCAAAAAACTTTTTTCCCCTACCACTTGTTCAGGACGTCTTTTGGCTGACAAGAAGAACAAGCGAAAGAAACTTATCAGCTTTTTATCATAAGTAATGACATTTACATAAATCATGTCATTACCAAAATAATAATCTATCCTAGTAGACATACTATTTACTAAGATGCCTGTGTCAGGAGATTCAGGAGGACCGTCTCTTCCGTAACATGTACAAATTTAAACATCTTTAATTTACAAATCAAGCATTTCATGCAGCATAAGATAAACAAAAACAATATTTATATAATTTTCAATAAAATTTCATGCAGAAATGTATGTTTGTGTGTGTGTGTGTGTGTGTGTGTGTGTGTGTGTGTGTGTGTGCGCTCGCTCGCGCGCGTGCGTGTGTGTTTATATTTTAGTATTGATGTAATTCCATTTTTATATTTATTAGTATTTATTTTATTTTACCAAATTTTAGATTTCATGCTAAAGGGAGCAGCCAATCTACTAAGACCTTTTAACAATTGTATGTTTTTAATTTATAAATGCCAATTTTATTATTTAATTTATCAAAGGGGCAAGTGCAAAATTTTCTAGAATCTGATGCAAACCCAAATTGGTTCTTATTAACAAGAAAAAGTTTAGAGCCTCGATCACTTGGAAATTTTCTGGAGTAAATGATGGTATCTAACTTAAAAGTACGTTTTTTGTAGTATGTAGTGTTTTCAGTTACCCCATGATCATGGCGCTTACAACAGCGCCAAAATATTGGGAACTCAATCAAAATAAGGTACAAGGTAGTGACTCCATAAAAAAAAACTATCATTCTTGGCCACCAGAATTGAACCCCAGAAAAAATGACAGGAAGAGGGAAATGAGCAAACTGAACGTTCAAAAAATAAAGTTTAATTAAATATAAAAAAGAACATAATAATTCTAAATCACTTTGATATTAATTCCGTTACATTAACATAAAAAAAATAAAAGACAGCAAAACCGATAAGAAATTATTTAAAAAAAAAAACCAAGATAACTTTATTGATACACAAATAATAATACAGTTAATAATATTATTGAAATTTAAGTACTATTCTAAAACTATGTTAATCTCAGTCATATTATAATTAATAGATAAATTTAATATATTGTGAGTGTGAAACTTTCACTTAGGCACGTACATTTAAAACTAAAAAAAAAAATAGAATTCTCAGTGAATGTTATGAACAATATTAAAATAAACATTATAACATCTAAAATTTAAAAAATGAGAAACTTAAAATTTTAATCCACAATAATTATAACTTTGCAATTATAATTATAACAAAACACATAATCTTATATATTAAAGAGTCATTATAACTATGCAATTATAATTATACTTATAACAAAACACATAATCTTATATACCAAAGAGTCATGAGCAGATTTTAAAAAATTAACATGGCACATTTAATCATCACATTTTACTTTTTAAAAAAGCTAAGATTTATTTTTAAGTTAAGCTAAACAATACGTATAATTTTTTTTACACCTAAATAAATTATCAAATTAATAAGGGAGCTTAACGTGAACAACTTAATTCTATGATTGTATATATAGCTCCTATCGATTCAGTCTTGACATTATCAAGTAACAATTATAAAAAATTTCAATTTGGCTCTCAAAAAGACATTTCTTTACACCTACCATTGATTTATATCTAATAAGTCACCTTATATTAATTGAGAATCAGAAGAAAAGACATTAGTAAAAGTTTGAATTTGAAGATTAATTGGGGGCTATTCTCTAATGGGATATTATAAGATCCCAATAAGCTCAATATCTATTAAATGTAGAAAGATAAAGTAATAATAATAGTAATAGTTTATTTCGACGACATATTAGTAGTTGGCGTAAACTTTTAACAGATATAATAATATCACAAATGATAGTTGTTTAAAATAATTACATTAAATCACAGTTGTAACATTAAGTCATCACAGTCCGAATAAGAATTAGCTTTTGAGCTAAATTCTTTTATAACTTGATAGTTTTTCCTGTGTCTCTTGCCGGCGACGTGTTTTGATATGACGTGACTTATATTGGCCACTTCTACATTACAAATAATGCAATGTATGTTGGCGTGGTTGATCTGCGGAAATGCATTTATTTATCTTTTAATGGGGAAAATTTGAGATTAATTGTGTTGTGAATAATAGTTAATAACAGGTCAGAACTACTTTTGAATCATTTGGTCTCTCGCCCAACAATCGTTGATGATGATGATGACGACGACGATGATGATGATGATGATGATGATGATGATGATGATGATGATAATGATAAATAAATATTTAACAACATCACATACATTGCTCAGATTCCAAGATGAGTAGCTAAAGCCCCCGTATTATGGAGTGTCTGAGACAACGAAGGTACCACAACACCCAGACCCGAGTCAATATAGAAAAGTTCATTTTCTACATTGACCCGACAGGGAATCGAACCCGGGACCTCAGAGATGGCGACACCTTAAAACCGGCGTGCGAACCACTCGGCTACGGAGATAATGATAATGCTAATGATGATAATGATGATGATGATGATAATGATGATGATGATGATAATGACAGGCTCTCCCAGAATACCCAGCGCCGTATGGGAGTTATATACACTGGTATGACTTACGCTGTGGCAGAGTCCTGATTGGCCACCACTTTTTAATAAAATATATTATCTCTTAAGTTAAATCATTATTGTATCTAACTATGTGGCCAATAAATGTAATTTCTTTCTTTTTCTTTCTATTTATGAAAATTCGACTGTAGAAATTCACTATTTTTGTGACATTGAAACAGAAGTCAATATCAAAATAGCAACTATTTAAATTAATAATTGTAATATTGCCTTATTGTACTGTACTCATAGCAAAACTAGTAAAGCTTACTTTACTCTACTGCTTCTTATGTTTAATGTGAAATTATGCATTTATCATGGTAGTGGCAGACACAAACGATTTAAAACTTTAGAAAAACATTGTTATACAATTTAATGTAAGAAAGAAAATAAATCAACCAATAGATGACAATATTATAAATAAAAATTTTAAGGCGAAAATGGCGATTCATGTATGAATATTAAAATTACCTCTCTTAATAAATCACCCAAGTGCTCCTTGAGGAACGGATTTTCAACACGTATCACGTGTTCCTGCACTTTCAGATGATCTTCAACATTCTCTATCTTATTCTGACATAGCACACACTTTATCTCTTCTTTCGTTTTGACCACACCATTCCAATTGTCCAATGGTAACTTGAGTATATCATCATTAATTGAAATCATTTTGTATTTCTTAATATTACACTTATCAACAATATTGATATAAAATAATATTTTCCCAACGCTTTCTTTCTTAGCGTTTTGGTATAAAGTTTCTTTTTCAGTCTTAACAATAAATATTTGAGTCCCATTTCTCACTTCGTTCTTTCTACTTTTCTTGGATTGTTTCGACGCTTCCATATTTGTTATATGCTTAGGCCATGTTACATGATCTTTTATATTACTACGCAACATCAAAACATTGCAAACGCCACAGTGAAACATTAAGTACATCTGCAATTAAATAGACAAGAATAAAAAAAAAAACTACATTTATTCCTCTAAATTTGACCTTTGAAATATATTCACGAATTAACTATTTGACATGTGATAGAGATTGCGATGGAAAGGTTTTCTTTAAGATATTAAATGAACGATATTGTAAATTTTCTAATTGCCTTAGACTCAAAATTACTTTGAAATATGCTGAAATATATCAAAACAAAAGATATATCCTTCGACAGGTTTATCCAAGTTTTTATTTAGGCGACAGACAGTTGCAGAAATTCGTCACATTGGTAAAACCTCTCGTACACTGCACCGTCATCTGATATATTAAAAAAACGAATGCAATTTTTGAAAATTATTACTAAACTGTAAGTGTTTGTATTTTAATACTCTTTGGAATCTACTAAGAAAATACAGACATAATTAAATTTGTTCGTTTTCTTATTAAACAAAGTACAAATTATTACAAATCTAATTCAGGAAACGTGTCCATGTGGACTGACCTTTTAAACTATTACTAATTTTATTACACAATTCTTTCCTTATTGTTTTATATAATATATTTGTAATATAACAATGATGACTTTCGAAAGGCGTTTGACAAAGTGAACAAGTTTACTTTAACATTAAAAACGCATGGGTATCCAACTCACCTGCCTCAATGGGGTACCTTCATACATATTGACAAACTTGCATTCATCGTTATTGGCGATATGATAGCGACTTTCCACGTGTTTTTTTATTTCATCGTATTCCACTCTGGACGAACAAACGAAACAGTGTCTTTTACCATCACCTAAAGGTACTAAAGTATTGTAAGATGTAATAGTTATCTTCAAATAAACATTATCAAGCTTAATAAAAACGAATTCTTCCAAATCTATAATAGATTCTAGAGTGTCGTTGGGACTGTTGGCGTTTTCGGCTCTCATATCATCATTTTCAATGTCTTCATTTGCTATTGCTGAACTAGCTTTTTCTTTAGGTTCTATTTCTTTCTTTATTGTTGCTTCTTCTTTATTTTCAAAATCTCGTTTTCTTTTAAGCACACCAACATCGAGTTTTGCTTCAATATTATTATTTATAGAATTCTTAAATGAATTTACTGCATTATCTTTCTTATTATTAAAATCTGGTTTTGTTTCAAGTACATCAACATTAGGTTTTACTTTATTATTATCACTTTTATAGTTCATAGACGAATTTACAGCGTTAACGCTTGGACTTTTTTGATTAGTGACTGATAATGATATTTGTAATAGTTGTTTGTGATATGGGGTTTGAATATGAACATAGATCATACTTGGATGGTATACTAGATTGCACAGTGCACAATGTAATAGCCCGCTCGATGGTAACTGCAAAAATTAAATGATTTAAAATTAACATATTTACTTATCATTATTCTAAAATCAAATCTTTTTTTTACTAGAATTTTGTCTATCATCTGCGCATAGGAGTGTAAAGATAACATATTGGCAATTTATTTGAAACTTTCTAATATGTAAAGGAAACGACTAAATTGTGATAGAAGACGCATTCCCAACAATAAAAAATACAAAAAGAAATGAATACTTACATGTCTTATCATGTTACAATTGAAATCTATGATAAAAGGCGTCCGTTGCATTAATTGTATATGAATGAGGCTATGGATATGAGTTAGCAGACTATCTTCAGTGCAAGCGTAGTTGCATAAAAAACAAACATAGTTAAAATTACCGGCTTGATTAAGTTGTTTCATAATGACATTATAATGGACCAAAGGCAGTGATATATTGCAGTTAAAATAGTTTATTACTATATTCCCACCTAAGGTTACGAGGCCTTTACTATAGGCATTATTGTTGCTTATAATCGGAGGAGCGTTATCAACTTTTTTAACGGGTTCTTTTTCAATAGATTTAGGAGGATCTTTGTCAATGTTAGGACTTTTATCATTTACTACTTCTTTGCCTCTATGTATATCGTCATTTGCATTTAGATTTGCGTTTTCAGACAATTTTCTCCGTTTATGTTTCTGTTCTAAATGCTGTTCTATACAGCTCTGTATTTGTAAACTATTGCAATGCCCGCAGTGATACAGATCACCGACCTAAAAAAAATCATTATTATTTATTAAATGTAGCACCAAACATAAATACAATACACCCATGACGTATGAGTCAGCTGTGACTTTACGGAATTATTTAATTAAAACGAAGTCATCAAACACAAAAATTAACTGAAGATTATCACCTACCTGCCTAATGAAGTATTCCTCATAACAGTCTACAATTGGACATCTCTGCAAATTCTTCAAATGCTCCTCACTGTCGCAGTGTTGATATTTAATAGTAATACCATAGTACTGTTTACACGCCATACAGTAGAAACAATTACTTTTCGGATTTATTATCATATGCCAACAATCATAAGTGACACGTACTTTTTTGTCAACCAAATTGATATCATAAAACTTTGGAGTGTTATTTGTTTTCCTAAGCATATTAGCGTAGGAAGCGCCAGGGTTATCAGCCACCGCTTTGACCCATTCGTTGTCGTAGTCTTCATCGTCTGTACAATCATTATTGCCGACATAACTTTCTTTATTGGCATCATCATGGACCTTTACATTTTCAGTCGATCGATCAATGTAATCGGAGACTTTGCTTGAAGCGGACAAATAGTTGTCTTCGTGCAATTTCGAATCGAAATGTTCAGTCTCAGCGTTTGGCTCGAAAATTTTGTTGCAAACACCACAGTGATATAACCCTCTTGTCTGTAATAAGAGTTTGATGTTGGACAGAGGATTGAAACTAGTTTCACCATGTAAATCGTGGTGAATTTAGTTGATTTAAGTTCATCAATGTCGTGAAACTAATTCCCCAATGTGAATTTGGATTCACAATCAATATTTCTAAATACAAATATATAGTTATAATGCCAAACACAAACGAAGCTCGGTGGCGTAGTTGACAAGCGCCGCGGCCCGCGATCCTTGCCGTTAAGCAACTTTCGAAAGTCCCGTGCCCGGGTGACCAAAAAATTATCTCGACACGTTAAGCCGTTAATCCCGGCTGCAATCGTTAATACCCTCCATCCGCATGGGGCCAGGTAATGGCCATTCCTCTAACCATCCATAAAGAAGGCCAGCCCCTGCAGTGGGTACGTGAAAGGGCTAATAACAGAATTTAAGGTGTATTTACCACATGTAGATCGACGCAAGGCTTGTAAAATTTCAATTATTAGATTTGATTATTGAGATATATGTAGATGGAATAGGTAAGAAGTACTACCAGTAAGTGGAACAATCCCTCTGATAGAGAGAAAGCAGGTCCTTGTCTCTCATATAATGAAGGATTTACAATTTACATTGCATTTACAATGAAGGACAACTACAAACTAGAATGTTTGTTAACAGGTTATCGGACAGCATTAGATAAAAAAAAATGTTTGTGCTTAAAAAGGTTATAAGTTTAAAGATTATTCCCCGAATATATTTGCTAAATAACTATTATATGTTTTTAAATCAATAAACAAAAAATATAATGTTCCAATATTTGTAGTCTGTGTCTCGCGTCAAACGAAACACCAATCAGAGCGCGTTACGTCATTTGTTGGTAAATTGGTAGTAAAACTGTCTTAAGAAACGCTCGGGAAATATTCAAATAGCAAAACAATCTAAAGATTTACTTGTTTTTATCAGGTTACAAGATTCACGTCACGTTCCCCCAGTCGCCGTTTACGCGGCTTTTTAAACAGTTAAATTTTAAACCAAATCTGGATGCATACATAATGGAGGTTTATTTATATAAAATGATTATTTGGAGCGCCTATGATCAATTTTAGGAAGTTGTCCGATTACCTAATATGGAATTGCTACCATGTACATTGTTACATCAAGTCCTAAGCGATCGGATAGTGTTGTGTATCGACAAGAAGTGAGAGTTAGTGGTGACTTTGCCGACAGTGGTACGGATGTACAATGTAAAAGAAATAAATTATTATTATTAAAAGGACTCGATAAAGATTATGATAATATAATCTACCAGCAAGACTTTAGTTACTCCATGTCACGGATCGTGTTCATGGTGCTTGTAACAGCGCTGAAATGTCGGGTACTAAATTAATATAAGGTGCACACGGCTGCATGTCAGATTATATCTTGTGGACCGCCGTACCAACTGTCTGCTTACGGTGGTGGTGTGTAGCGTGACGCGCGGTCGTGTGTACATGGTAGCAATAAAGTAATTAACAAACAACAGTTAAATAATTAAAAGTTTAACACCACTTTTCACTAACAAGGCATAGCTTAACTAGGAAACTCCTAATCTTACGAATCGCCTGAGCAAATTATGTTTATTAAAAAAAAAAAAATAACTATTTAAAAGTTTAACATATTTGTGATCTGTCATATTACGCAAATGCCTAACGCTAGGCGTCCCCTAACTTTACACTTTGCTTAATGTCATTAGGTGGTTCCTAGTCTTTGGCAAAATGCACTTTCACCTTAGGTGATTCTTAAATATTTAGGCGATAAATTTAAATTGAGTGAAAATGTCCATAAATAGATATTACCTTTCTAGTGATGCTTAATTCATATTTTGCAAGCGGCTTACAATTATTTAGTGTGCCTTTATGTTGTACACTATTAATATGACTTTCTACAGCTCGTACAGTAAAATGTACGTCGCACACAAAGCAATGAGACATAACATCATCAAATATAATAGTGTGCCAATGATTTTTTGTAATATAAACGTTGGAATTAACTATAAAACCATTTGGGAGTTCTTTTAGATGAGTCTCTAGAAATCCTTCTTCTAAACCGTTTTGTTCTACATCTGTAAGAGCATACAAGCCTTTAATAAACATAAAACATTTGAATAAGTGTATAGAGCGGCCTTCAAGGTTTGAAATAGGGGTGGTGCCTAGGTATAAAGCCTGCCAAGTGCGAATTGACTAGTGTACGTAGGGTTCCGTACCAGAAATAACCAAAAATAATGATGTTTGTTGTATTGGAGCCCATTTAAATATATATTTTACTCTGGTTCTTTGTTGAATCGGCAACAGAAATACATCATCAGTCAAAATTTTAATTATCTAACTTTCACGGTTAATAAAACACAGCCTGGTGATAGGCAGATAGCGTAGTCTATGTAATAGGCATTGGCCCCTATAAATACGCGTTGAGCTGCCCTTCCCGGTCCCGTTCGATCTGGCTGATCGTTCCCCTTCAGGGAATCAGCTGTATTACAATCCGATGAGCCGAGCCCCCTGGAGTTAACAGCTAACATCTCGATGTCACAATTCACATAGGTGAATAGTGACGTCTGCCCCCCCCCCCCCCTTGCGGGGGTACGGTCGTTCCGGTCGAAGGTTCGTTGCTTCCGGGCATGTAACCAGCTGTCCAAGGCAGTGTTTAATCAGTAGGAGTCTGACATAACCTCACAGCCGGCTGTGGGGTATCCAATGAAGGATTCACTGCCTCCTTCCCCCGTTGGGAGGGTGGTTCCGAATCCTTAAGGTTGAGAGCCGAAAAAAATTATCTATGAACTGAATACGAGCAACAAGCGATATTAGAAGCGAAAACTAGCGCGGTGAATGATCTACATTCTAAATGAACAAAGTGAAGTGAAATAGTGCTGTATTTTAGTATAGTAGTTTTCTCTTTGTTATCTTCTATTGATAGAATGAAGTAAATACCGAAGCGAAACGAAAATAAATACACATTTTTTTTTCTAGTAATACCGATAATCGTACTGCTTATTGTAAATATAATATTTCTAGAATTAGTTATGAAGAAAAAAACAAATATTTTATATTCGTCACGTGAATGAATGCAGCTCGTATGCGGTCCACTAATATCACAACTTGGAGAATAAAACTTTATGCATATATATTAGTTTTAGAGCGTGACGTCATGCGACGCCATGACAGACTCTGGCGTTTCCGCGGGAAGTATAGAAAATTAAATACATTTTTAGATCTTCTTAACTTATTATATGAATTATATATTTTTTTTATTATAACTTCTTGTATTTTTGTTATTAAAGTCGCCTAGCACCGCTATTGGCGTTGTTTATCCCGAAAACCAGCTCGTAACAATAATAGGGATGATGACTAAATTTTGTTTGTTTGTCCGTCAGGTAGAGTGTCAAAAAATATTAAACACGTATTTTTTTATTTTTTTCGTAATTATAAAATAAAAGTTACATGGAGTTGAAATTTCGCATGACGTCACGTTAGAGTACGTTTTCTACTCAACTGCGACGTAGCGAGCCCCCACACCACAACTTAAATGCCTGTTATCTAAGCTATTTCTTGTTTAATTGAAGTAAAAAAAAATACGTATCTAATATTTTTCTATTATCTGACTGACGGACTAAATATAATTGCATTTTTTTTACCCAGTCATCATCCCTGTTAGCCTATATTACAACACTCACCTTTCTCGCATAAACTTTCTGGCGTCCAACAATTATATTCTTCCTGACTCGAATCTCCATCAGCGGAATACTCATCAATATTACTGCGTTTCTCTGCGTACATTTTAAACTGAACGAAGCTTCTAGACTCCTCAGCGTCTTCATAAAACACGTCATCGCCAATAAGGATATGCTGTCTCGGTCTAACGCATAGATGCGACGTAAGTATATCCTTGTCTATGAAAACTGAGGGCACCGACGCCTCTTGGGATCCTTCGTATGGTTCATTCATGGTGCTGTAAGAAAAAGAGAGTTTATAAAACTGTCTAAGTGTAGAATTCGATCTATCTTATTGAAAGACATATTTTATTGATATATTTAAAATTACAATGTAGTCGAATTGTTTAATTTTAAAATCTACCACAGTCCGTTGCAAAGGAATAGATGTTGTGATAGCGATTTATTGATGTGTAACTCGTTTAACTTTTAAAGTCGCAAACGCACGAACGAATGATAATTGAATGATATAAAAGTCTTAGACAATTCGTTTCGTTTGACATTTCCCAATAGCGTTCAAATATATTTGTAACTATGATTTTGCTTAGAAAATTTCGATTCGTCAAATAAACTTTCTAATAATAGCTTTTAGTAACTTGCTTATAAAATTTCGATTAACGTCAAACAAACTTTATCGTTCAATAGCTTTAAAAAAAAAAGTTGCGACTTTCACATGTCATATAGTGATTGTGATAGACTTTAAAATTTGACAATAAGGCGACCGACAGTATATTGGCGCGAAACTGATCGAACGTCAGTGATAATGACAGCCAACAGATAGGGTTGCCTCTAATGAAATCGACAATTAGTGCTGCCAGTAGCAGTCGATCTTTTTCCCGCTAACACTGTACATGTAAAAATTAATGAGGAAGTATTAAAAAAAATAACAAAAAAAGATAACACTAAGAAAGCACCTCACTAGATGGCGACTCTAGCAAAAGTTGATTTTTGCAGGAAATGAATGGATAAAAGGTAGTAATTTCCGTTCCTTTTAATTAACATATTAATTAACTGAAATTTGCAAAGTTCGAAACTTAGATATCAATACAAATACGAAAAGGTACAAATAGAATATGAGTTGTTTATTGAGTTTTGAAAATTAATTTACCATTTACACACGAAAGAAAACCGGAAAGGCTGTCGTGGAGAAATTAAGAAAGTACCGTAGCGACATCTAGTTTGATTTCGGGAACTAATGCTTTTTTTTTAAATACTTCCTCATTGCTGTTCGTTTGTCTCGAGAACGAATGGGTTAATTTATCTGATTTTGGTTTTGTAACGTTTCACGTGTTTCAAAGGAAGGTTTTAACCGTGAGATGTGATACGAAGTATACCGGTATTAGACATCAAATGGCTACATTGCTCAGGTTCTAAGATGAGTGGCTAAAACCTCCGTGTTATGGATCTGAGACAACGAAAGTACCACAACACTCAGATCCGAGACAATATAGAGTCCATTTTTTATGTATATTGACCTGACGGAAAATCGAATCCGGGACCTCAGAGATAGCGACACCTTGAAATCGGCGTGCGAACTACTCGGCTACAGAGGTCATCAGTCTATATTATTTATAAAAAAGTCTTATAGGGGGGTTATCTCTCAACCCTCTCAAGAGTTCTCAAAGTAAATTTTCCATTCATCATCAGCCCCTTTACGTCCCGTCTGTGGATGATCAAGCTTTTCCTACGGATGGTTAAGGAGAATGGACCATGACTCTCCACGCTGGCCCATTGCGGATTAGAGGATATCAACGACTGCAAATGCAGCCGAGACCAACGGCTTAACGTGCCTTCCGAAGCAGTAGCTCGAGGTAACAATTTTTTGGCCACCCATCTCGTGACCGACCCCAGCGAAAGTTGCTAACAACAACGATCGCAGACCACGGCGCTTATCCACTACTCGAAGCCAATATTCAATACAAATATCTTTTAGCGTTTCCTAGTTGCTGCTTAAAATTAACTATACCAACCTAGCGAAGTCGGGGGAAAAACGTAATTAGTTAAGTGATAAGCAGAGGTCAGAATTAGGTAAAGTTATATATGTACTTGCATCGAAATGTTGATATTAATGTGGACCTTCGTGGCAACATCGCGTGTATTGGTATTTTGTAACTTTGGACATCTGATGTCATTGATGTAAGTTTGGCAACGTCGTGCGTGCAGTAGTTTAAATTGTGTAAAAGTAAGTAACTTTTTATTTAAAAAATCACGGGATTTTTTCTGCTCTTTAAAATTAATCTCGGGATTTGAGGCATATCCACTTTGTTCTTTCGCTGTATGAAATCAGTGTAAGTACATGAATAACTCTACCTAATTCCGACCACTGGTGATAAGTCTATTGGTAACCCACACACAATTAAAAATAACACATAATTTGTAACCGGAAATCATCGATGTTTACACAGAAATACTTACAATGTAACTAATTCACAGTGGAACAAAGATAACATTTGTTTATTAATTCACAAATGTTATTGGTGGCATAGGGTTGCCAAACGTACTCAAAAATTATATATTTCCGACACCGAACCCAAGAACGATTTTAGATTTTGATTAATGCATATTTTAGTTCTTATATCCGAACACACTTCTAATGTTAGAAGCTGTTTTATATGAAAAAATTTATTACAGAAATGGACAACCTTTATTTTATATTCCAAATAGCAATATTAAAAGAAATTCGGCTAATGTTAAAAGATTATATTATCAAAAAATTTAGATTACTCAATCAGATCAAAATGGCTTAACGTTTTTGAATGTAATTCGATATATACTTAAAAAAAAGACTTAAATCCAAGTTGCTCGAGCTTCAATAAGGTATGTTTGATAAGGTGTATGGTTGGTTGATCTCTCTCGACTACCTTTTAGGTTATCATATAAGTAGTTATATAGTGGTTTTATTATTATTTTGACTTTGACTGATGACATTTTAATTGTTTTGTAATATTTTATGTCTATAATCTAATGTATGTTTGATTATTTATGTTATTATAGTTAAAATTTATCTTATTTCGACTTTATTAATATATCTTGTAGCTGACTTTTGCTATAGTTTTCTTTTTTTATTGTCATGTATATTTGGTTTAATTGTTGTTAATTTCTGGCCCGCTATCTTAACTGGATGATAGCTGAAACTCGGCGCTGCGCCCGAACCTGAGTGATTTAGATGCACCGAGCCTTGACCCTTTTCTAACTGCTACACACAGGTACATTATGATTAATAATTTATTTAACTTTTTTTGTGTGATTCAAAACTTTGTCGATGTAATTGTGTGTAATTATTAATAATAAATGTTTTTTCTATCTATCTATCTAAAGGAGCAGAGATAGATTACACTCTGGTATAAGTACGTAAGCTATTTTTATTCCGAGATTATGTACGATTTCCGTGGATTCGGGCATCAAGTGTCTCCAGCCGTCAACA